AGCAGCTACTTTGGAACGCAAAACATATTCATCAACTGAATATATAAAATGATAAATATCAAAAATAGCCATCGATATAAAAATACGAAATTATTTTAAATAAACTTCTACACACCAGTAAATGTGAAAGGAGAAACTTTTACATCTGCCAAAGATGGTTCCAATATGCAAGAAATCCAAAGTTGCATCATTCGAAAACCCGCTCCATAAAACGGTTTTTGATTTTTATAAAACACTCTTCCTCAAAATTATAAGTAGTTTTGCTACAAAAACGACTTCAAATTCCTTAAGAAATAGTAAGTAATTTGTCAAAGCAATAATGAAAAGCCTTCGCTAACAAAAGCAAAGATTTATTCTGACGCATCACGGAAATTAGTGTCTCAGCGTAGTAGTTTCCTAGTACGCTTTCACTGATGGCTTCTTAAAATCACGATCATAATTAGTAGCAGTTATGCTGACGTAACATTCGTGGGATTATTGTTCTCGACAGCTATCGGTTCGAAGTGGTATTTCCAAATAGGTATACGACGTCCAGCAGTTTCCCAATTAGTCATATAGATTAAGGCAAGTACTGCTCCGGCACCGAAAGCACCGTATGTTGGTAAGCTAAAAAAACCATAAGGTCGAGTTTGACTTCAGGGTGTAGTTGCGTTGACGAAGTGGTACTCACAACAAAGTCTTCATCTTTACCTGACGATCAACAAGGTCTAGACGGGATCTTTACTACTATGCAGTATGACTGAAATCTAATGAATGAACATTATCAGCACTTTTTAAGGGAAGCTGGTCCAAGCTGAACGAATCGAACTATCGAGACTACCCTATAGTATGCACTCGCCTCTGTTAATAACACACAGAAATCACTTACTACGTTTTATTTCTTAAAGCATTTCTTATGAAACGTTTGTAGTTGACGTAATCCATTCCTGAAAAACAAGAAGCAAGAAGGTCAGTTTGCCCTTACCATACATGTAACTCCGTTCTCTCCCTATGGCCACAAGATGACCATTACACCACCCACAAGTCAATGTCGCCACTGTCTCCTCCACCTGAGTAGGTGAAATCAGTCTGCTAGCAAAATAAGTACTTCGTGGTTGGCCGTTGTTTGTGATGTGGTGATACATGTGTTGCTCGGAGAATTAGTTTTCCAGAGTTGTGCAGACGGAGAATTCTAACTTGCTCCGCTGTCAACCGTTTACCCTCAAATGGTTTCAGTTATGCATATCTACGTGTAGGATGTCTCTGTAGACTTAATTACGGAAATAATTAGGGAAAAGAAGGTTTAATTATGAGGTCGAATAGAACAACAATGTGAATTAAATCGACGAGACGAACTTTTGTTCTGGTATAGTTCAATAAACTGCTTTGCTCATAGGAACAAATATCTTGAAATCAAACAGAAACAGATGGATGCTCAGGTTGAATTGTTGCGTCAGTTCGTGAATATTTGCAAAAGCAATCCGGCAATTTTGCATGAGCCAAGATTCGAATTCTATAGGGATTATCTTGAAAGGTTATCTTTTCAGCTGGGTTTGTACCGTCTCTATTTTTTGCTGACAATTCTTTTGCATAATACGGCATTTATCGCTCGAAGTACTGAGATAGAAACATGTTGTTAAAATAAAAAGCCAAGTTGAAGGGCCTAATTGCATTGTCCTCCATTTGGAAAGGGAATTTACTGATTTTGACAGGTGCATTAACTTATTAGAAAAGTGTTTTGTAGAGTGTGTTACTTTATAGTCTTGGTGCAAAACTTCCACCCCCACCAACAGAACCAAATGAAACGAAATCATTCGAGCCAGCTGGTCACAATGAGGAACCACCAATGAGCGAAGAACAAGTGAAACCAGAAGAGGAACTGGAGCTGGACATGTCGGGAGTAATAAAGGGCGAAGAAGATGAGCCGCTTCCAATGGGTGATAACAATAAAGAGGTTATGATCTCGATGTTGAATTATAGAACAATCAATCTTATTCCTAATTTTCACTTTGAAATTCTCAATTGCAGATAACTGAAGAGGATATGGAAAAAGCAACTGAGCAACGAGTGCTTGCCGTGAATGCATTCAATGAAGGTGTTTCTTACAATTTAGTTAAATTTTATTATGACTCTATGCACTTACATTACTAGCTCCACATTTCTTTCGAGCGTATTTCCTAAAGTTTCTTTTGTATTGAAACGACGAATTAGATACGAAAAAAAAAGGATCGGCACCAAAAAGTGGACTTTATGCAAACCAGATACTTTCGATTCAATTCAGTTTCTGTTTCCAAACTTATATTTTCTTTCTTTTTGAATTCAACCAGCTTTTTTCAGGAAATTTTGAAAAAGCTGTGGTACATTTTACTCATGCCATCGAACTGAATCCAGGACTGGCTCTTTTGCACGCCAAAAGGGCGAAGTAATTAATTGTTTTGCTGTGGTTTTTTGGTAGGAAAAAAATCTTCCAATTTTCAATAGAAATAGTACTACTTTAATGAATTATTGCAGTGCGCTTCTAAAATTGAACAAGCCAAATGGTGCAATCCGCGACTGTGATAAAGCAATTTCATTAAATGCGGACTCAGCACAAAGCTATAAATTTCGTGGACGAGCTCACAGGTCGTGTCAGTTCATATCTCTACTTACCACGTACGGAACTATCGTTTTGTCTTATCTATTGTACTAACTTAGTTGTTTTATTTACAGGTTACTTGGCAATTTCGTGGAAGCTCACCGTGATCTAGCCATGGCATGTAAATTGGATTACGATGATGAGGCAAATGTTTGGCTTAGGGAAGTCGAACCAAACGTAATTTCTTTAAAATTTTTGCATATTGATACATTATTGAGTACATCACTTTAAATTTCGCACTGCAAGAGCAAATTTGAGACCAAATACTCTAATTCCTGTTATGGTAGCCAGGTTATATGAGTGGTCAAACCATCTAACCATAAATGAATCAGAGAGATGGTTTTTTATTCGGTATCATTCTCTTGCATCATTTGGAAAGAAGTTCTCACATTATTTTCCAGTTCAAGTAGTTTCAGCATTATCAGATATGCTACGCAGTGATCTAATAGTTTTGATAGCATTACTTACGAATAACTTCCTTTGCTAGGTTTGTTTCCACACTAAAGAATCCTGTCTTTCCGCCCTCCCTATAAGTATGGCATGCAGATGACAGTGTTAAAATGATGAGATGCAATTTTAATATTAATGTGTGCGCTTGCAAAGAGAAAGCAAAGAAGACAAAAAAGTTTAGAAAACTTGGTTAAAAAATAAACGCATGGATAACGTAAGTTTCTATTTGTATTTAATCACTAATTCCTTTTTTTTCTTCCGGCAGAGACGTCGCCCATTCGGTCCTATTGGTGCACGTCCAATAATAGGCAAGCCAGCCTGTTTCCGGCATGATATATAATAAATATTGCAAATGGCGCCATTTGCACGGCGAAAATCTTTAATATTTAATTGTCGTTGCTTTTCGATTCCTTTTCCTTCAGTAACGTGGTGCAGCGGCACACTATTGTAGCATTTTAATCTATACTTACATTTAAGTTTTTGCGAACTATTTAGCAATTGTAGTTTGGTTGCTTCTTGTCGTGATCGTGAATCGAGCGGCTCTATCTGCATATATTGCTGTTCTTTAACCTCATATTTAAGCTCTTTACTTTTCTTCTTGTGTGTTCGTTTACTTTTCCCATTCATAACTTCGTCTTGTATCTCCTTTTTCTGTTCTTTCTCTTTGTTTCTAACAACCATTTCTGTTTGGTTTGGCGCTTTTACTATTCCTTCCTGCACTTTTTTCAGCTCTACCTTTTTACGAACTTTGTCTAGTTGTATGTCCAGTTTCATGTTTTCAAAACACGATTTGCGATATTTGCATTTTAAGTGCAAATTCTCGTACTGTTTAATAGAAGTAGTAACTACATATGCCGTATTATTCAAATGTAGCGGAAGTATGCCCGATTCATAACATGATTTTCGATATTTACAGCGTAGTTTTAGTTGTTCTCTATTTTGTTCCTCTCCGATGGATGCTTTACATTCGTTCAGAATTTGGATTGTTGGGAACCCAAATATGCTTGTTTTAATTGATGGCAGTTTTCCGGTTTTGTAACATGATTTTCGGTACTTGCATCTTAGTGTGAGTGGGATATGTCCCTTTGGGTTATATTTTTTTGGAATATTTTCTTCTTTCTTTTTGATTAGGTGTGTCTCTTTGAAGTTTTCATGAAGGTTTTGTGGTAACTTACCTGTTTCATAGCACGATTTTCGGTATTTACATCGTATTTCGAGCTGTCTGGGGTCTTCGAAATCTTGTACTGTCTTTGCGCTTTGGGCTGGTGGCAGTTTGCCGCTTTCATAACATGATTTACGGTATTTGCATAAGAGCTTGATATCTAATGGGCTTAAGTTTTCGTCATAGATGTTCACTTTTGCAGGAGGTGTTATATTCTCTGCTTGTAAGAATACCGATTGTACTTCTTTGACGGGTGATGGTGGTGGTATCTCCGTCGTTGTTGGTTCTTTTTCAAAATCTTTTTCTTCTGCAATCGAAATTTCCTTTCCCTTTATAATTTTTTCCTCCTTGATTCTAATTTCCTTTTCTACTTTTTCAGCTTTCAGTTTCTCCTTTTTAAATTCTACACGTTCCGGAATTCCCTTCTCTGTTATGGGTTGTTTCATATTTATTGTTGACCAAACAGTCTTCTGAACCTTTTTTGCCTGCCGTATTGGTATTTCTTCAGCTGGTCCCTTGATTTTCTTTTTCTTGGGTTTATGTACAGTTTTTTCAAATTTTATATTTTCTATTATTGTTGCCATCCTTTTTCCCTCCAATTCAGGAACAGAAACTTTCGACGTTTTGATCAGCTTTTTATTATCCGTAACCTGTGTAGGCTTCGTTCCGAGAGTGCGTTCCATTTTTTTTGATGTGCTTATTTCTTTAGTTTTCTCAGATTTGGATGCAGATTCTTTCTGGAATGATTTAATAACTTTCTTTATTTTTTTCTCTTTCTGTTCTTTTCGTTCTGCCTCATCATTACCAAGTGTTTCAGCTTCATCGAATAGTCCAACATTGAAATTCTGTTGCTCTTCAGCTTTTTGTTTATAACAACTTTTTCTGTACTTACAGAATGTTTTCAAGTGATACAACGATATAACTGTTTGCACCGGTACCGCTGACGGCGATTCTTCTTTGGCAACTTTTTTCTTCAGGTCAGGTAAAATACCAGTATCATAGCACGATTTCCGGTATTTGCAACGTATCTCTAAAGGGATCACTTCTTCATACTTCTTAACAATATGTATATACTTGAAAATTTCGCCATGGTTTATTACAGGCTTTTGGCCAGTATTGTAGCAAGACTTTCGATACTTACAGTAAACTCTCTTTTCATCATCATTAAAATCGGTAAATTCCTTGTGAATAATTTCCTGTGTGCTTGCCTCGTGATTTCTTCCTCTTACGAAGTAGTAGATTTTTTGGAATAAATTGTCGAATGACGTATCGATTTCGGGAAGAACACCACTATCATAGCAGGATTTCCGATATTTGCAAACCAAACGTTTCTTCATTTCTTCCACGATTTCATTCATATTCTTTTCAGTAATCGCTTTCGTCGAGATAGATAGTAGTGTTGCAATTTTTTCTTTTTCTTCCGCTTTTGCCAGTGCCATCCTGGCAATTTCTTTAGTTGATTTTTGTTTCGTTGCTGGTAAAATAGTGCTTTCACGAGAAAAAATTGGCCCTGCTTGAACTTTCAAAGTACTCTTCTCGATTTCAGCACCCACTTCTTCATAGCAGGATTTGCGGTAGCGACACAGCAGTTTCAGTTCTGCTTCGCTGATCTCTTCTTTCTCTTCATTTTCATTCTTTATTTGCATTTCGGTCATGCTTTTTTTTTCGGAGGAATTTTCTTGTGCATGTGAATCCATAAATCGTGGTAGGATGTTGTGTATATTCCACGTATTCGGGATAATGCCCGTATTATAGCACGATTTCCGGTATTTGCAAAGCAACTTTCGTCTTCCAATTGGCACTTCCAGAATATCAGAAGCTTTTTTGCGGATCTTCTGCTTGGTTTCCTGTTCCCGGTATAGCTTTAAAAGTTTATACCTTTTAGTAGAAACACGATGCTTTTTTCGGTGTCTGCTGAGCATGTGGTGACCGCGTGAATCTTGATGTGCTTTGTGTACTGCGCGTGGCTGTTGTGTGCTGTGATAAAAACGGTTATGATATTTGTGCTCAGTAGCGGATACGAAAATTCGAGGCATCAAAGAATAGACACTATTCTTACGTCTTAAGCCATTGGGTAGTGGCAGCATTGCTGTGTTGCACTTTCTTCCTAGCTTATTTGTCCAGTTGTTATTACCTATATTATTACAAAAGTAAATGGTTGGAAAAATTCTCTCAGCCGATTGGGCGCAGAGGTTGCATTTAGTTGCTGCTCGTACCAGAATGTTGATTCGGTCGCTTGACTCACTCTCTGGAAAATTAATGTTCAAAATATTTGAATTTGGCAAATGGCAATATTATAGTTGATATTTTTTCCAAAAAAGATGTGAAGAGTTTATGAACATCTGCCAAGTTTTGAAAACTGTTATCAGATAATAAATAAGCTGTAATACGACTGTAGGGAAGAAATGGAAAATAGAATTGATAAGGATAATGAGCTTTTAGTTTCAGGTTTATGAGGGAATTTATTTGACGATGGGGTGCACGAGTTGGTGGAAGTTTTCATTTATTAAAGAAGTTAAGGATTTTTTGATTTTTTAATTTGGAGAGAAAAGGATGGAAAGTTTTACCAGAGTCAATAATAAATAGGCTGTTGCGTGTCGTATTAACAATACCATAGAGCAGTGTGAATTCGGCTAAGCTCATTTCATCACATGTTTTATAAATATTTATTGTAGTTTGTTCTTGTCGCCAAGGTATTAGTTTCACATCTACGTCGGTGTGACTTTCTAGCAGATCTTTCCACTTTTCCATTTCATGTGTCGTAATCCGAAATATCTCATTCTCTGAATTGTTAAAAGTATTTTCACTTCCTTTTATTTTTTTTTTGTATGGACTGATTTAGATCTAGATTCAACGTGAAAATATGATTAGCTTTTAAATCTCTACTAAGCTTTTAACTTAAAATTTCTAGAGGAATGATTATATTTCAAGTTAACAAGCTATTTGAAGAGTTAATATACCATGGCGAATTAATATACCATGGAAAATTGAAATAAGCTGATTCCAATCGTTCTGTCAAAACGTTAAACATTATACCATGTCTTTTTCCATTAAATTATCCTCCTATTATATATGGCTTTGTATTCTTATTAATAATTCACTTTTAGTTGGATTATTGTTAGCGTTGCAAAAAAGATTTAAAATTTTTACTTTTAGGGGATAATCCAAACTGGCTAACAAATTTACGAAGGAGCTCGTTACTTGTAGCATACTGCCATGAATATCCAATAGTAATGAGGTCGGGATGAGCTGAAAGTTTTAAATTATCATCAATACTTCAGAACAGGACTGGAAGCGAAGAAATGGAATTTTATGCTTTGTAAAATTAATGGTAAATTATAAACCCTGCTTTATAATTTCGTGTAGTATTATTGCTTGTAGTAAAATAAAAAAAAAAAAAAAAGAACTAACCATTCTTGGTATTCTGAATGGTTTTAGCTCTACTGATTGATAATATGACAACTGAAAAAGCGATGTAATAAATCACTTGAATCGGTGTCATCTGCGCCTTATGATGAAGGACCTTGGTGGGTAGTCCCTCTTATTGAACTCCAAGAAACGTAGAGACTTGTGTATTGCACCACTCGATATCTGTTTTGAGATTTTAGCTTCTGCTGTTGAGTGAAAGTTCGGACCGCCTCTTATTTTTACAAGTTCTACCTACTTTCTGCTTCCGTTCTTTCTATTTCATTTTCTTCTGCAGTTCTGTTCTGTTTTCTCTTGAATTGCTAATAACACACCTGCTTGTTTCATTTCGTTTGAAAAATGAGGATAAAGCTGGATCTTTTTTATTTTCATTTCCCCATTGCTCGATTTTCAGGTGCAGCTGTCCTCAGTGCTATGTCGTTTGATGTATGTCAGTTTACCAATCAAGAAAATAGCCTCAAAAAAAATCACATTTACAACTATCGAATTTAATATTTGATATCCAGAAGGCTCTTAATTTTGCTAAAAGATCTTTGGAGTATCCACTGCATATGAAATAGTTCAGTGTAGGTTGAATCATCGGTATAAGAAACAGCGGTTCTATTCCACATTTCGATAAGTCACTTTCTATTGAAAAGTTTGTCCACGGCACATCAGTTCTGGTAATAAATATAGTGAAAGGTCTTACCTTATTAAGTGATATCGTCATTTGTAAATCCCAAAATTTCCATCTGCATTTTTCGGATTGCTACTAGGGAGAATCTTCAAGTTCCTCTTCATGATTTCGTGTTTCTTTCCACATTGTAGCGAACTTGATTTTTAGCTTTTTGAATACATTGCTGTTATGCAAATCTGCATAATCATTATAATGTATATAAAGTAAATAGAGAATTGTATGGAACGAAATGGATCAATATGTATAGTAAGAAAAGATTTGTAGTTTGCCGATAACTTCATAGAAATATAAACGCAGTTTCGAGCTTTGTGGAGGCGCAAGCAGCTGACATTCGCTTAGTTACTCAATGCGATGTTATTTCATCTTTCATTTTATTTTTAACTTCATATCTTGTCTCTAGATATATTCATTGCCTTCTAATGAATGGTAGAAGTATAAGCCATATTGAGAAGGCATTAGTGTTTTTCCACGTTGCAGGATACCAAGATGTGACATAAGCATTAAATGTGGAAGCCATTATAAAATATTTTATAACTTAGCTTCTACGAGTTAGGTTAGAAGAGTAAAGATCAAGTCAGAAAACATCTCCTATCTCCTTTTAGCGAATTATAATAATGGAGTCATTGCTTGTAGGCAAATATTGCTGGCCATTAAATTCTAGAACGTAATGCAGTAGTCGTAATCTGCTCCTTTTGACCACGTTCCATTGCTTCGTGTATTATTTTCACATACCATTTGTATTCCATTTGATTCCTGAATTCCAGGCCAGAAAAATTCTCGAGCATATTCGAAACAAAGAGAGGCACGAGGAAAAAGGGAGTTGAAAGCGCGTCAAGAACGGCTTAGGCAAGCACAGGAAACACGAAAACGGGAAGAAGAGGAGAAAAAGAAAGTTCGTTGCAGAATTTGTAACTTCTGTTACCAAAAGTTATATGAAAAATAATGAGGATTACACAATCTCTGGCTTTGGAATGAGGCGGAACTGCACCCGAAATGAAACATTATTTGCAGCATGCTGACAGTGCAGAAGGCTTCGGTGGTTTTGGTATGCCAAACATGCCAAAAGGATTCGAGAAAATCTTCCAAGACTCGGAAGTTATGAGTCTGTTACAAGATGAAGGCGTCCTTGCAGCCTACATGGACATCATCAATAACCCGGCTAACATCGCAAAACATATGTCAAATCCGAAAGTGATGAAACTATTCAGCAAAATTGGCAATGTTACTGGTGGATTCGGCATGGACAGCGAGAATCCTGAGGTTGTATAATTTTACTTTTTGTCAATGCTTCATTTAAGTAATCATTGTGAATTTATCTGAAGTTAATAGCCAAGTGATGTCAAGAGAAGCTCGCTGAAGCTTTTAATATAATACAATACGCTAAACATTTGTAAAAAACTTAGCAGTAGTTGGATTAAACGAAATAGTCCATAATGGATCATGGAAGCTACTCGCTTACTAGATTGCACCACACAAAGAATACATTGTACAGATTGAGGCTTAAATAGTATTAATTCCACAAACTTTCTCCATGAATGCTTTAGATGAAGGAAACGGCAGCAAACGGTGGAACTACAACAAACACCACTCCACCAAACAAAGCTCCTGAACCGGATCTTGACTGATATCCTATTCAAGTTTCATGAAGGAATTCTGAATTTTGTGGAAATGATTCGTCAACGCAGTTATGAAGTTCATTGCTCCTCCTTCCGTTTTGTGTTACAGTTTTTTTCTTTTGCCATGATAAAAATATCATTATGTTGAAATGGTATATACGTTCCAGCTTTTAAATGCCACTTCTGCTATTTAAATGCCACTTATAGCTTTTAAATGCCACTTTATTGAATTTCTTTCCATCATCATTGTGAGTAAAACGAAAAAGACACTATATTTGGAAGGAAGAAATATGATATAACACCGTGAAATGTACCTTTTATTCATTTGATAATTGACAGCACAAGAGATTTTACATACAATGTTATAACTTTGATTCATAGGCAGGAGAAATTACGGGAGAACTCGTGTTGAGAAATGATAAAACTGGCATACGCATAATGAGGCATGAAAACAGTCTATTAACACATGCGAAATTTTGCTTTTTGAAAAACAGGAATTTCATCGCATAAGTGTTCACTCACCCGTCTGGAGGTCATTAATCAAGCAAAAGTTATGCAATCGAGCTGATTATTCTTGTGATTCTCGATGGCGATTTAATTTTCGGTGCTAAAACAGTTAGTATTGTGGAATGAATAAGTAACTGTGAATGCTACAGACTTCATAACTATGTAATTCTAAGTTGATTTTCAAGAGTTTACTTTTTTCTCGATATTTTTCCTTTCACTTTTTCGCCTCTCCCTCGAATGTTTGTGCTTTTTCCCTGAAATATTCGAAGATGCAAATTCTCGTTCTCTTAATAAGCTGCAACAAAACTAAAACAGGAATCCTGCACTGTGATTTTTTTTCGTAGCTGCAGAAGAAAACAGCTTAAGAGTTTTGCATGCGGATAGAATTGGATAAAAGTTAACTTTGTCTTTCAAGACATGCATGTTGAAACAGCGCAAACTAAGGATTGGTTTAAAATGGCTAATATGTATCAACTACATTCATAAAGTAGAACTTGCCTTTTTTATTTGAGTTGATATCTGCCCTTAAATCAACTGTTAATGAAGATGTGGGAGGTGGAGGTGCAGGTCCGAACTCTTCATTATCATCATCTCTTTTGGATGACAAATCCATGTCCATCACTGTGAGCACTTTTGTTAATATCAAAGATTTCTTATCATCTTCAGTTCTATTATCAAGGAAGTCCCCGGACTTTGATGGAACCATTACAGCCTTCTGATTGTCTTGTAGTTCCTCATCGGTATCAGTGCTAGATTCATTACTGTCACCAAATATAGCTTTCAGAAATTCTTCTGATGGCTTCTGATCTAAATTGCTTCCGTCTTGACTAAATAGCTCTGTTTTGGAAATCTGCAATAAAAGGAAGGAAAGAATTACAAACTGTCAATCAAATTTTTTGTGAATCTTATTGTTTCTTCATTTTATAACCCTTCTTGTTTCTCAGTTACTCAGCACGTAATAATTCTTGGACATTTTCCTCATAACATTCTATTTCATGGATAAGAGAGCTAATATGTTATCTATCGCCATAGAGACAAGTAGGCCGTATGACATAATTTAATTTTAGAATTTTGGTCTCAACACACGGATTTCATTTCCAATCACTTTTTTGACCCTTGTATGCTTTTTTAAAGTTTTTTCATAAATAACCCATATTTTTCGGCGTTATTTATGGGAAGGCTTTGAAAAGAAACACAGGAGTCAAAAAAAGTGACTGAAAAAAGGCTTTGAAAAGGAACACAGGAGTCAAAAAAAGTTTATGAAAAAAAAAATATAAATAAAGCCCATGCCAATGCCATGGTACGCAAGGTGTTATTAAAGGTACAGTTTTCAAGATGTGAGAAAAAACGAAATCTAAAGTGATGTAAGTATTTTATCCGTATTTATAAAAAGACGGTGAAAAAATGCCTCTTTTTTTCTCGCACTAATGTTTTCTAAGTTTGAACGATACTTCGGATCCTGTGCCATTGAATCAAATGATAGCATATGAGCACCAAGATTTGCCAGTGTTTCGGTCTTTGCTGTTTTCTGGAAAGAAATAAAAATATCGAGTTGGAAACAAATAAGTAAATAAGTACCTAATACGAATTTTTAAAAGTCGTCATAAGGTAAAAACCTGCAAGCATGGAACACCAAGGAGATTAGACGAAGGAAATGGATCCGGAACGTTGAATCGTTTTGCCAACTGTTTGGCAGGGTGCCACACATGAACTGATCGAGTCTCTACACCAAACATTTTCATCGTTACAGCTGCCAATCGTCTGTCACCTTCTGTTTTCTGCACCTTAACGTATTGAAAATGTAATTAATTCAACCCACTACAGTTCTATTAAATAACATAAGAAATAGTAAATAATAAACAGACAAAAAAAAAGCTCCATCCGTACATACCTCTCGCATTTTGCCAGAACAGGAACTTGAAGTAGAAATAAACTTCGACTTTAAAACATCGGCTATGGAAGCTGCTATGTCTGGGCGTGCTAGCGGTCTCTGTTGTTTTTCAACTTCCAATATAAGTGGTTGTAATTCAGGAGGAAGCAAATTTTGAAAGTCATGTAGTTCCTGATCCCATTCTAACCTTGTCATATCGGATGGTTGCGGATAGTGTAATCCTGTTTGAAAAATTGAGATATAAAATTCATAGCTGTATCGTTATAAAAGAGAAGATACCGTTTTAATTACTTGCTGGTAATTTTTTCGTCATAATGAATCGTTCAACTCCATTAGTATAAAAAGAATTCAGAGTTGGCAGGTGAAATGTCTGAATTTAAAATTATGCTTACCACCTGCATTCAATATGGATACAAGAAATTGAATAAGCAGAATTAGCGTTCGTCAAAACTTTTGGAATAATAAAAATTTTGTATTAAAAATCTACAAACCTCGCTTCAAATAATTCACATACTGTTTAAATCGTGCTTGTTTCATAGGCTCCTCTTCGAATGCATTTTGTATTACATCTTCGCTTTGCGGAACATCCAGTCTCTTTCGATCTTCATCACGCACCAGTTCAAAGACTGGTTTTGGATCAATCTATGCAAATCAAATTATTCAAAATAATATGTTGAGGAAACCAAAGTTTTAACAAAAAAAATTACCTCGCCCAAAAACTTTGCACGTTGCAAATGATTCATTCTTTCCCTGAACTGTGTGATATTCAAAGGCATCTGAGAAATATTTGGGTGGATGGGGGTGTGTCGCGGAATAAAGTTTGGTGGGATTAGCGGTGGCTCGAAAAAGCGTCTTGCAAGTTGGCGTTTGGATGCTATTACAAAGCTTGTGTCACCTGCAATGATTCCATTGAAATAATGGAAACTTACTGACGATTTCTGGAGTTTCCTTGTCAGTTGTGGTGTCAATTTTGCTAGTGAGCGATAATATTTTGTTTGAAACGAAAATAATTGAATCAGAAAAAGAATTACTTGCACTACATGATACATTGGACGTTGTTCCACTGCCATCAATCGCGAAATCATATTGGGAAAGATCATAATTCGTATATATGTTTGCATCGTCATTTTCAAAAGCACCAACACCAAATGCCTTGAAATATATATAACTAATGAAAATTGCGTTCCGCTGAAACAATTAGTGATTTCTCGTCCATACTACCAGACACAGCGAGACCATTTCAAAGTGGATTTTAAAGTGGATCCCGGAATATGAATTCTTTTGAAACAATGAATTATTGCAACACAACACAAAGAGCTCTAAACCTTGGAATTGTCCAAGACGGTACTGTATGAGAGACAGAGGAATATTTATGAAAAGCTTATAATAAAATGGTTCAGAATCATGTTCTAACAAATTTAAATGAAGAAATCTTATATCTATAAATACACATGAAACATACTTGTCCCGAGATACCTTTTCCTTTCTTCTCTACTTTCAGCGCAGTCTCAAGAATGCCGTATTTCTCAGACAGCACAGAAGTGTGTTGCATCCCGCGATATCCCAAACCATGAACGCCTTCAGAGGACTTTAAAATAGGCGGATCAAAGTCGCTTGGTGCAAATAAGAAATTTGGTGCCATTTCATCTGCTTCTCTCACTGCTTCTTCATTGTAAAATTCTTCTTTCCTATGAGTTCTGTCGTCATTCACTAAACATATCAACAGAATAAATAAAGTGATCAGGAAAAGCGTGAAAGTGTGGAAAACAAATCATCGATTCTCTTCCTCAGTTGGGCACCTCATTATTAAGAAAACTTTTCAGTACAAATAACTGTAATGTGAAATTACGTCTGATAACTAATAACATAAAACACAAAGATGTTATATACGCTTCTGTTTCTCCAATGCTTTTCGTGACATTTTCGATCCAATCCCATATCCTTCCCTCCATCCCATCTTTTTAAGCAATTGTATGCCCACTGAGTCCCTATAAAACAGTGATAACTGAATATATCTGCATGGAGTTGAACTTTTGAACATAACAACATTTAACCAATAAAGATGCCACTGATTACCTAGTTGGTTTAATAATTTTTTGAAGATAAAGCGAAAGTGATGACTCGAGTGAAGACTGCATATTTCGTTCCCATGCTAGCATATATCCATCATTATTATCTCCACCAATATTTGCCGATGTTTTTATTCGTCTGGTTGCTATTCCAAATTCGCTCAAATCCTGCAAAGCATCAATCTCCGGTAATAGTAACATCTTGATAATTTACTTGACTTAAATTGAGTTCAACAGATATTGCTCGCTTAACCGTTACCGATGTATATGTATACTATCTCATAGATATCTTAAGCTTTCTCCTTCATCGGGCGATAGTCGATACTGATGTTGCCTTGCGGTCCAATGCTGCAAAATGAGAAACATAACTCAAACCTCCTCATCCATGAAATCCTCTGGTTTGTAATCAATTCTCTCGCCTCTTTCATTGCGACTTGATCGGAACTTTTTCGGTACCCAACCTTAAATATATTTATATATTATAAAATGATGAAAACACTGGAATTACTCCTGAAGAATTATGAACAAAAGACAAACTGTTACCTCCCTTAGAACCAACAGTATTAAAATATCCAGCAGAAAAACCACCAGTGAATGCTCCATGGAAACGCTTTCGCCCCTTTTCATCTTTTACCACCTGGTCCTGAATTCCAAGAGGTCTAACAGTACTTACACTCTCTGAAATGACTAAAATTTTAATGGTGATATCACAAAGAAAAATTTAAAAATACATGAAGAGTCAGTTAAAATTTACGAAAACAAGTTGCAGATAAGTTCCAAACTGGACAATAACAAAAATGGAGATCAATTATACGGATAAGAAATCTACTCTATAAGGTTAATTTTTATCCTTACCAGTCATATTGGTCAAGGTCACAAAAGGATCAAATGTTGCAAGAACTAATAACACAATATGATCGAATACTGCAAAAACAAACGAACTCGTCGCATCGTCAGGTTCCTCTAGCTCTGTGCCATAAATCACCCAATGTGCCATCGATACGTTTTCTTTCTGCTAGTATATGAAACAAAACTCGTCAAGGAGCAGGCATTACTCACTTCCCGATCCGAATTGTGCAATCATTCCTGGACTCGTAGTCCAGCACAAGAGTGTACAAGCTAGAGATATGACGCCTAGCATCGAAAGGCTTCCGCCAGTTGCAAATCACAAATTCGCCAACAGCTGATTTAATTGATTATTACGCATTAGACCACTCTCATGTAAACATATTTTACCAAAGACATTAAAAATCTTTCACAGATAAAAATCTGAGTGATACAGTTCCAGATCCAAACTTACTGCGAATGAGTTTTATACAGCAACAAAGAATTTCGCATGGAAAAAACACTTACGCCGACTTCCCACTATCTGCGGTAAAGAAATTAAGACGTTCAACAGATCTGAATTCCAGCAAAAAACATGAGGAAACTGATTCAACAAATTCCGTGCGCATGAAACAATTAGAGAACAAAAAAACTGTAGAATCCATTAAGATCAACAATAATTCAATGAGGCTTTTGAGTTATCAAAATGAAACTGAAGGTCCACTCTAAATGGATATGAAATCAACTCATCGTCGCCTCTTCTTCTGCGCACTGCCCCGCACAAAGCACCAACTAACGTTTATAGTTTGTCCAAGCAATTCTGCTCCATTTAAGCTTTCAATCGCAGCAAGAGCTTCTTTCTGCGTCTCGTATTCCACCAATGCATATCCCTGAATAAGAGACAGAAAAATTCTAATCAGTAAAAACAAGTGGAAATCAGAAATACCAATCGACCATTATTATCAAAAAACTCCTTATAGATATTTTGGAAATGCACCATTTAGCACCAATATCCAGATTTGATAACACTGGAATGCGTCGGAGCCGGTGCATCCGTGATTTAGATCAAAAAGTCAGAGCAGTGACAAGTTTGCAAGTTCCTATCTCTTAGGCACTATGAGATTAGGGCTGTGATACCCATCTGTAATAGTAGAAAGGTTTCATCGCCAGTTAACATTTAGTGAGTTCAGTCCAAAGAGTACTGAATACTTGATTTTTGAACAAAAAAAAGCAAAAATAAAAATAACCTTTAGGAAGCCCGTTCGTCGGTCAATGTTTAAATTCATATTTTTAATTTCACCGTATTCGCTGAATCGTTCATATACGTCATCTTCATGAGCTTCTTCATGAACATTTGTCACAAAAACTATCCACCCTTCTACCGATCTAGACACAGCAGACGAAATTATAGAGTGCTCTTTCGCAAAAATAAGATTGAAATATAAGGAGTTTAATAGGAAAAACTACCATCAAATCAACTTAAAATTCTTACGAAATGAATCGAAAAATATGATAAATAGGCATCTCCAAACCTTTGAGGGGCATTTGGATTGTTTGCACCAGCCGTACTCTCCAAACCTTCATATTCCGTGACATCAGCATGCGTTTCACCGCCAAAACCACGTCCCTTTTTCTTTGTCGCTCGACTTTTTAAATCATCAACTATAATTCGACCATATATATAGAAGTTTTTAAGAGTCACATTTACGGGCCTGGATAATAAATTGAAAATTTAAAATTACCAAAATATCTGCGAATCATAGAACGTGCTGAAAAGACTACACAGTGCCACACATTGAACAGAGATGAAAAAAATAAAAAATGAAGCTGAAAAACTAAATTAATGAAAGCGCTTTAAAAACGCATCAAAAAATGTTTGTAATCTCTCCCTCGCTTATGCACTTTCAGCATATTCGAATAAATCTTACTGCAAATATATGCCAAATGTTTGTTTGTTTCAGAATGGAAAAAAAAACTTACTAACAAAATGACACCGTGCGTACTTATCTACTCAGAAGCTATCAAGAAACACATATTCTTTTGGCAAGTTATTGCAGGAAGACATGTCATATTAAAGGCATCTGATCAGGTCAAACTGTAGCTTAATCAATTTACAGCATATTACTGGTTTACAAAAATCAAGAGAACCCATTTTAATGCCCTTTTTGGTCCGAAATATTTGAAATGAGAGATCGATAAGCGAACTTCTTTGCTGATCGTAGTAATACAATCAATTAACAGTGAAAAAAAAAAAAAAAAAAAAAAGTTAGTAGCGAAACGGAGGAATTTACCAGTGTAATATTTGGAACATGCATGAAATTTGCAAACAAGAATAGAAATACAAAGTGGTGACCTGCAAAAACAAACATTAAAGTTTCAAACTAACTTTGATCTGTATGTTCGAGCTCCATGTCGTCGTCAACCTCAATACTATCTCCTGTCACAACAGCCATATCAAAAAGCTGTAAAATTAAAAAATGTAGTGATCCTCTATTAAGATTCGAAGTTTTTTATTTTCCACAAATGTTATATATGATTGTCATAGCTAAATATGAACATGACTAAAAACATGACACACACATGATTTAACTGGATGAAAAATTTTATTGACCAACATAAAAAAGCTACTCTTAACTGCAAACTTGCTTTCATTATAAGCACAAACAATAATTCGACATACAATAATGGAAATCACGCAGCCGTTAGCACCGTTCTCGATATTATTAAGAAATAATGCATAAAAAGGTAACTATTTTTGGTCAAAATACTTAATCCGACTTCATTTGGGAAGTGTCTATCCACTACATGTATCAATTTCCCAGAGCCAATCAATACCATTAATACAATATCAGATATCATTATTACAATTTCACAAAAACATCAAGGAGATTGCAATACACTAAAAAAGTGACTGACGAAAACTAAAGACCGCCGTAGGGATTCGCATTTACGAGTCGTCTCATGCGACGGGTGTTGCGATCTTGATCGCGCATTTTCTTTTCGATTTCAGCATCTGTAAGTGTTTCCAAAAATGGCCCCCAAATATCAGCATCTGCAGGATTCCGAAACGGACAATCTACCGTTGGCAAAGGAGATTCACTAAAATATTAAAACTGCTTAAGACTTCCTTATGACGAAAATGTGAGCAAAAAAACTTTAACAAAATTAACATGGAAATCCATCAATTTAACATGACGAGATATACTGTTTGTTAGTTAAATAGGGAAATATGACAGGAAGCAGGCAGAGTATAATCAGAATATGAATCATAGTTCATGATTGTAATCATAAGCAATAAATTCCAAATAAAATAATATCCGATATATAACAGTGTTACTACGAAGATGTGTTGCCACATAACTAGTGGTCACAAAGCTGAAACACTAAAAAAAATTGAAAGAAACTACAAGGTGAAACTTTAAAAAAATTGAAGGAAACACCTGTAGGCATAGGTTTTTTGATTCCACGACAACTGCCCGCGAATAGAATAACTTATTGCAGCAACAAATTCTCCTCCAAGGCCCAATTCGGAGGCTAACTTTGAAGCAAACCATTCCGGATTGTTATTCTCTTCACTCATATCCCATTCAAACTGATCAACCAAAGACTGATTACCAACGTGAATATTCAATTTTAACAATGCGCGCTGATCACTTAAGGCCGTATCGACAGGGGTTGCTTCCCCCGCCGCCTAAAATCCAGAAGAGTTTCTGACTAATAACAAATGAATTTCTGCACTGGATGATATGTCTCACTTGAGGTTTTCAAATAAAATCAGGACCCTTATTCAGTCATCCACATCCAGAAGTAAATCGGAATATTATCTGTTGAACATACAGATGAATTGCAAGTCAGGTTTTTGACGGCTGAAAAATACAATGATAGGAAATTATTAAAAACAACAATAAAACTGCACTCTGACCTCAATTTGCTGATGTACAGCTTGCGCAATGGCGTTCTGAAAAGTCCCTGCGGGCAAATCCAGGTCATCACACATTGTTTCAGCTAAAATTTCTGGTGTTATCAGCTTTTCGTTGCGGTTATAACAAAATGTGTCGCGGAGCTTCACACCTTCCAATTCCATATCTAACCTTAAAAAAAGTAAAAAAAAAAGATAAGAAGGAAATAACGAAAAGAAGCCAAATTCTTCACTAAATTGTACCATGTTATTCAATGCCCTTGGAAAAAGTATAACACCAACCTTATGGGTATGAGCTCCTCAGGTTGGTCCGCATTGTCCAAAATTCTTTTATACATGTCCAGATCATCAGGTGACGAAGCGAAGTCCCGCGTTTTCATATGCCCACGTGCATGTGCTACTGGTGTAGAACAAGGTACGCTTTCTAAATGATGTGAACCGCTGCTTACCTGCAACATACAACTACCTGAAATAGCTTTCGACGTGCAACTCAATATCAGCTTTCTTTTCACATGTAAGGAAAAAGTTATCTATTTCTGAAAAAAGTTATAAGTTATCTATTTTTGTACGTACTATAAAAAGTCAAGTACAAGCTATAAAGAAAAACTGATTTAACTAAATAACAGCAATTCAATATTCCTCCACAACAGGAAAGTTAATACTGGAAAAGGATGAAACACATGAATAAAGAACAGTCTTCATAGGGAGACGAAGTACGTGCTAATTTAGGACTACCAAACTAGCTTGACCTCACATCTAGATTATATATTTAATAAATTCTACAGCATTTAATGCAGCGAATGACACAGAAATTGCTCTTTAATACCAATAGAATAAAAATCATTCTTCAAATACCAACAGAATAAAAATCAACTAAAACACACAAGCTATTACTTGTGTAAATCTAATTACTACCAACTGCTGAAACATACCTGCTGTCCGAGCCATGGCCCTGTTCCAGATCGTGTTGATTTCATTGGAGTACCATTGAGAGCAATGGTGCTTCCTGATGACATACCGCTACTTGACGTACCAGTCCCTCCTGCGCGGTACTTCTCCTCGTTTCCCATCAAAATTTCATCAACCTTAAATAAGTACTTCATTGCTGCTATTGATAACAGCATCTGAGCAAGACTGTGGATTTCCTTACAAAATGAAGGTCGTGCAAATAAAGAGAAGTGAAACTGCAATATCTGCTAGGAAAAAAGAAACTTTGCACGTTTGGATAAGTAATAGTGATAGAATCTTTTGTACAAAATTAAGAGATAAGTTATACCTCACAAGCTTTCACCAACATTATATTGGTATTCAAAAAGGATGACGGACATGCCATTTCTTGCATTTTTCGTTTCTCTTCCAAAGTTGCCATACGTTTCCATAGCTGTGGAAATCTTTTGTATAACGAACCACGGTGATATCGCATGTATTGTCCCACCTGTAATTCATTTCAAAGCAGAATGAAAACTAAATATTATAATAAGTAATAACAAGGTGGAACAAATTCTAGAAACCTATACTGGATACCAAACCAGTGAACATTGCGTACACCAACTTTACTCGTGGTTTAATTATATTCACCGTAGCACTTGAAAAATGTGTCATAGCTATTTCACCAACTTCAGCACCGATGTAATAGCGTTCCCCAGATTCATCGATAGTAAATGACTGTGGTCGGTCGCCATAGAATTTCATTTTCGGCATGATGGCGGCAGCACAAATGTTTGAGCTCTGACCTCCAAAATGTATGTTTGTTTACTGATGTGAAACAAAAAACAAAAGGAAAACATATTTCAAGGACTACACAAAGATATAATCAAAATAAAAAGGTCATGATTGGAAGACAAGACGCGTACATCAAGCTCTTTACATCATGACATCTGCTAGCTCAACTCATCTCACTTAATGACCCCTCACAACCAAATCCAGTATTTCAATTCCCGAACTATTTCCCAACTCCCGGACCTCCTGCATTGGAAAAGGCCAAAATGTATCACAATGAGACAGTCATCATAGGCTGAGAGAAGGGAACATGAAAAGTGTTTGGCTGATATAGAGACGCAGGCAGGAATACAAAAAAATTTTACTGACCCTCCCTCTTAGCCGGCTTGAAGTCAACTTATCTGTCCGCGAGATGGCTGGGATTGCTTTTATAGTGGACAGCGTGATTCACGTGAGTCGCGTAAAACTTTTTCACGCTCCTTTATAGTCTGCTTTTACGTGAAGATCACTCTTGTTCACTGCGACATTCCCATTTCATCTGAATTCTTCCATTTTACTTTACATACAAATCATTTTCAATTAACAGCGCACAATTCTTTGACGACCGATTTGAGTTTTTTCTTTTGAATGATTTGGGAGTGAAATCACTGGTTACCTTTGGCTTATCAAAAGGAAGTATAGTCATTTGCTGACTTGAACGCTAATTCGACATCTGTAATGATTTGTCATGCATTTATGCTGACGATGGCTATCACTGGGATGGATCTTCACACTTGGCTTGATTGGCTCTTGGTCGAAGTAGTTTTTGTAACATTGGCCCTGACAAAGTATCTTTATATATCTTTTTTTCAGATTTTGGTACCGCTGCTCTTTCATTATGGTCGAAATTCACGAGGAAAGTACTGTTGCTCACGAAGGTTCTTCTCTACCACCGGGTAGTTCACCTTCTGACGGTAGTTCATCAGCGACGCATTCTGAAGTGAGAGGACAGTCAACGTTAGCAGTACGTACTGAATATAGCTCTCGTTATTTTCAAATTACAAATGATAGAAGCTTAAGTAATTCCCTTCTAATTATAATGGATTCCAACTAAGCGAAAATTTTTGATCAGAGCATGATGTACAGACGAGTGTAAAGATAACCGAATTTGCAATTACCAGAAACTTTGAACCAAATTTTTTCGTTGGTTTGCTTTTAAACTCTATGATTTAATTTTTTGAAGTAAGGGAAAAAGTCGTGCGGCAAAGAAGTAAGAACCTAAAATCTTTACAACCTAGGAAAAGGCCCATTACATCTCGAGAAATCCATTCAGCATAGTTGACTAGCCGATTTTTCTCTTTTGCTACCTAATTGTATGGTCGACTTATAAGATCATCAGATTATAGGCTTATAACCAATAGAAAGGATGAATCAGTCGAGTTCCGCAATATTTTTGACTACTTAAATAGAATATTTGATTCGGTGTATAATTATAAGAAATAAACCTTATTTCGGGATTGGTTTTTCCTAATTCTATAATTCATGCTCAAATTCGAAAACGGTAAAAATCATTTCATATTATTCTCGACTTTCTCTGAGGTCTGCATAAAATCATGTTCCAGGATCTTTTGAAATCGCGTCAAACAGATGTTATCCTTTTCTTGACAAGAATTGTGACCCTTTTATGTACGTTATATTTTATTTTACCGTTCGGCGTGCGAAGTTCTCAGTACTCAGCTTATTCAAAAGCGTTTGCAGCGGGTGCGTATTTTGCCGTCTTTCCATATTTATTGGTAACCAGGTGACCACGCGATATGACTCAACTTTTCTTTTGATTTTTGATTATCATCACTTCAAACTTCTTATGAGTGAAATATGAAATACGTTAGATATACATGTGTAAATGAAAATACAGGATAGAGACCATGTTTAGAATAAAAGCATGAAATAAAGTTGTACGTCTTTAACATCTTGAGAATTATTTTCCATATCTGCTTATAATTTGAGGTTATTTAGCTGCTGCAACGAATGCCCTTCGCGTACATCAGCGTGTTGGAGGACTACGTTTCACTCGGGAGTTTTTGTCTATGATACTTATGGAAGATTCGTGTCATTATCTTATTTACTCCGTTTTGTTCATAACTTCAACCCCAATTACTAGTATGTTATCATAAGTTCCATGTTTTTATAAGTATGATGCGGTAAGCGAATTGATGGCCTATAAAATTTATTACCATGTTGCGCAGAAATTTTCAAAAGATCATGTGATATTTCTGCCAACAATACTGGTCGCTGTAAACAGTGATGTAGTTTAAAATTCTCAGTTTTATTTCAGGTAGTTAGGACATGTAGCAGAAATGCATGCTGAAGCTGAAAAAGATTCCAGTATTTGGAATCCGCAAGTAGTAGATGAAGAGGAATATTTTGTAAAAATGAAATATGTGGTTTATGATCTACTCTTTTCAGTGGCACTTATGCCAATATTTTTATATGGATTGCTGCACACCATTAATTTCACCACTCAAATATGTTACGCACTTGGGAAAGCAACGAATATAGCTGACAAAGTGTCTGACTTAACACGGCAACATACGCAGAATCTTTTGGGGATTATTGCCTGTTCTGAAATATTCTTAATGCCAATGCTTGTTGCCATGGTGTTCGTGTAAGTCATTTTTAAACTGTGAAGTTCATTTGCGTAAAGTACAGTTTTTTTTCTTAATATAATTCTGCGCATACCGCACTTGTATACCTGAGTTAATCTAGAAAATGGCTTACAGCATTGTTAAGCGTTTACAAATTCCAACTAAAGATCGTGCTTGAAATTCGTCGAAGATATTGCACGTACCAACTTGGAACGCTCAGTCACTCAAAATTTTATGCAGTTATGTTCAAATTACAACAACTGCATGATTACATTAATCGGCATTAGTTACCAAAGTTCATCCTAAGATATACAGCGCAACTTTGTTATTCACAAATCAGCATAAGTAGTGTATTCTTAATTGAACGCTTCAATTAATTGAAGTTGATGTCTTCAGGGGTAAGGCTTCGTTCTTCCTGCCCTTCATATATTACCGATTTATAACGCTACGTTATGTGTCGCGCAGGAACCATTCTATAAGGTATTTCTTTTCCATCATTTATAGAAAATTTGACCATTATTGCGTTTTAAGTATTTGATTCAGAAAATGTTACGGGCGCTGCACGCAATCATAAATAGATATTAGATACTGCTATTACTACAAATGATCTGCTTCCATTTTAACTCACTTACATTCATATAAATATTGTATTAAGCTGTCTGAAGCAGTTAGGGATACTTCTGTTGATGGTGATATAATAGCTCAATATTTCGTCTGTTTGTTCCCTTTCTTTACTTTGTTACAGTGTTTTCCCATAGATATCGGAAACCATTAGGGATTAATCCATGGAAATTACTATTCGCAAATTTA